CCGGGGTCTGCAGGAGCCTGGGGTCTGTGGGAGTCCGGGGTCTGCAGGAGCCTGGGGTCTGTGGGAGTCCGGGGTCTGCAGGAGCCTGGGGTCTGCGGGAGTCTGGGGTCTGCAGGAGCCTGGGGTCTGCGGGAGTCCAGGGCCTGTGGAAGTCCAGATGCAGCCAGCCTCCTTGCCCTGCCCAGCATCAGGGAGCAGACCACAATAGGACATGATCACTTTTGTTCACCGTGGCTGGTCACTCATCCTACAGAGGGGATCCCTGGCCTTTTAGCTCCCCCAGAATCTCACCCCCACCCCACCCCAGAACTAGCCGTAAGTTCCCTGGGAGGTCCATTCCCACACTCCTTCCATTAGCAGAAGAATTTGGGAGCTTGCCCCTCTTTCTCTCAACTCCCGGTGTCTTGACTGGAAGAGGTCAGGTGGCAGGTGGTCCTGATATCCCAAGAACTTTGTCAGGGCCATGGTACAGAGGCCAAGGATGCCCATATCTCCATTAGGGACAAACATACACAGAGATGACTTTGGGCCGGTGTACTAGGCTTTCTTTTGGGGGCCACCAACCAGCTCCCAAATCATGACATGGAGACTTAGTTTTGAGTGCTCGGCCTAGCTTCGGTCTGTCTGTTGCTGGCTCTTATAACTTAACCTGTTTCTCTTGATCTAACGTTTTGCCTCGGAGCCTTTTACCTTCTTTCTTCCTGTATGTCTTACTTTCCTGATGTCTCTGTCTGTCTGTCTGGCAGCTGCCTGACTTCTGACCCCGAGCATGCCCCTCTTTCTCTTCATACTCTTCTTCTTTTCTCTTCTCCTTCTTCTCCCAAGCCTAGATTTCTCCTCCTATTCTCTCTATCCTCCAGCCCCACCCATCTTTTCTCTGCCTAGCTATTGGCCTTTCAGCTCTTTATTAAACCAATCAGGTGCCTTAAGCAGGCAAAGTGAAACAAATGTAACACATCTTTTCACAGTTCAAGTGTACTCTGCAGCATAAACAAACTCGATACATCTTTACCTAGGTAAAATAATATTCCATGATATCAGAATTTTCCCAGGGACCTGCCCTGAGAAGATTCCTCCCAGGGTCCTGGGGAAGACACTGCAGCTGGTGTGGGGGTATTCTGAGGGAAAAGGATCTAAGTACACTGGGGCCCTTTTGTCCATCCACTTTATTTCTCTAAGACAAAAGTCTATCTACACAGCTTCAGTTCTGTTCTGACATTCAGTTCCTCTCTGTCCCTTGTTTACTGTCCTCTCATAGCCCTAACTAAGCTCTTCTGCTATCGATCTCATCTTCATCCTCCATTCCTCTGTTCCCCATCTTTCCTTCTTCTCCTACTCTCTTGACCTGATTCAAATCCACCTACCATCTGCAAAAACTTGCTCCTTACTCCACGGCCAACCCTAACCCAGAGTCAGGAACTCTGCCCAGTCTTCACTGGCACCTGGTTATGAAAAAAAAAGAAAAAGAAAAAGAAAACCTTTTGTTCTCAGTCAGTAGCTCTGGAATGCCACTAGGTCTGAAGGAAAGGGATGGTCTGAGCTTCATTTGCACAAGAAACAAAGCTATACATCTACATATCTGCCTATCTCCTAGGCCTAGGACACAGGCGTTGTCTCTGTAGGGGTGTTGTTACCTAGTTCAGGTGAGCAGTAGGTCTAAGAAGCTTATACTGTTTGCTGTATGGCATAGGAGTATGAACGCACAAGAAATTAATAGTAGGAAACAGCTGATATATTAAAAGCTGGATAACATTAAATATTCCTTGATATTTGACTTCTCCTCTAGGAGGATTCCTTGATCTTTCTAGGTATAGCTATATCATATACAGCTGAATCTCTATTTTATATTCTTGTGGCCTGTATCACCACAACAAGCAAGAGTTCAAAGACCTGGGGTCCCAGGCCTGTGCAGAGTGGACCACAGCGTCCGTTCCCATAGCTAGACTTGGTGGTGAGAGTTATCCAACTCTCTGTGCTTCACATCCAGAAGTCTCCCAAGTCGCTGCCACAACCCCAAAGAACAAACCCTGGCCCTCTGCAGCTGTGCCTGGGAATGAACAAGGGCCTCTCTCACTTGGACTGTCATGAGGCTCGGCAAGAGAGACAGACTCAAACTCCACACAGGACACGGATCCAGGCTCAGCATGGGAGGAAAACCAGGTTTAGCAGAGGAGCTGAGCAGGGCAGATGAGTCCGCTCTTAGCTGGGAAAGTGGACCCAGGCTTCCAACAGATGAGCCCAGGCTCATTACCTGTGGGGGATTATGTTGATTGTGTTCATTAACGTGGGAGCACTCGTCTTAGTTTGGGTAGGGCCATCCCCTGACTGGCATCCTGGACTGCAGAGTTGGGAATGGGAGCTAAGCATGCATTCATTGTCCGCTCTCCTGACCACGTCTCCATGGACGTAATACCACCATGGCTTCACGCTCCTGTGGCCTTGACTTCCACCATGATGGACTGACCTTCTGCTATGAGCTCAAATAAGCCCTTTCTCCCTTACCTTGCTCTTGAGTGTTGATCCCAACAAGGAAAGAAACAAAGACATACCTCCCGCCATCCTGCAGCTGATGAAGCAGCAGCATGGCCTTTGGAGACACAAGCTCATGACGATGGAACTTCCAGGATGTGATGCAGGTTCCTCCTCACTGGCCACAGCCGGTGTTCACGGTTCCGCCCTAAAGCTAGGGATGGGGAGGTTTCTCCTAGTTACCCGCAGTGACTCCCTGTGATGGCTGGTTCTGTGTGTCAACTTGACACAAGCTAGAGTCAGCAGAGGAAGGAGTCTCAGCTGTGGAATGTCTCCTTGAGCTCCAGCTGTAAGGCACTTTATCAATTAGTGATCAGTGGGGAAGGGCCCAGCCTATGGTGAGTGGTGCCATCCCTGGGCTGCTGGTCCTGGGTTCTATAAGAAGGTGGACTGAGCAAGCCATGGGGAGCAAGCCAGTAAGCAGCTCCCTTTCATGGCCTCTGCATCAGCTCCTCCTTCCAGGATCCTGCCCTGTTTGAGTTTCTGTCCTCACTTCCTCCAGGGATGAACAGCAATGCTGAAGTGTAAGCCAAATAAACCCTTTCCTCCCCAGCTTGCATTTGGTCATGGTGTTTCATCACAGCAATAGAAACCCTAGGTAAGAGAGTCCCTAAGTCAATATTCACTTTGTAGATACTCTCTGCTTGGTCCTTAACTCATAGATGGGCCAACCAGCCTCAGCCTGGTACTTACAGGCACCCTTTCATGCCCCAGAGGCACTCAGTCAGCACAGCAAGAAGTATGTGTCAAGGTAGGAAAGGGGGAAGCTGGGCCACCCCGCCCCCTGCGCAGCATCTGCATATACAAGAACCCACTGGGAAGTGGGAGCCGCTGGGCCCTGCAAATGGAAACCAGAGTGGCAGCCGAAAGGGGGTGCACAGGACAGACCCTAGCAGGGGTTCTCCATAAACACAGGCATCAATCATTTGGTCAGTCAACAGCAAACCTGAGAGCTGGCCCAGCGGAGGCTGCCCTGCCACCAGCAGCCCCTACAGAAGCAGGAGGCTCACACTTTCTAAATCACACAAATTAATTTAGAAATCAGAGCAGCTCCCGCAGCTAGACTGCAGATTTCAAAACAGCTTAACAAATTACCAAATCCCCTTTAAGAAGACAGATTATTCCAGCTCCTCTGCCGCCTGGTTAATTATGCATGCGCTTTTGTTAGGAGATGTTAAATATTCACTAGCTGTGGGTTTGCACTTGTGACCCACTGCTCATTTTTGTGCAGGGCAGCAGTGGTGGCCCTCAAGGTCCAGGCACATGGGGGTGCTGATCTTGAGACCACTGTACCAGGGCTTCCATACTGCTGAGCTGATGCCACCTCCCAGGCCACGAACCCACACAGCCCAGCTCATCCCATCCAGGGCTGCCGCAGTGTGAGGAGCAACCCCGGGAGCCTGCCGGAGCTCTCAGATGCCAGTTAACCTGGGGCGGCTGGCCCAGTGCCTCCCCACCCCCACCCCAGTCTTCTACCCTCCCCCCAGATGTCCACGTGGTCCAGTGGCTGGGTCTCAGTCTTTCTCCCTACTCTCTGCCCTGATCTGAAACCAAGAAGACCCCAAGTTCTTCCAGGCCCAAGTTCCAGGTCTCTCCTCTAGAAATCTGGGTGCTCTGTCCAGGTTGTGTCCTCATCATTGACATTCAAAGGAAGCCAGGAGCACTCTAGGCTGTTGAATGCCTTATTTATTAAAGCTGTCCCCAAGCTGCCCTGGAGTCTGTGGCCCTGGCTCTAAGGACAGCCAGAACCCTTGTGCCAGCCATACCAGGACCCTACTTGTCCCCTGGTGTCATGAGGACCCACCCCAGGGTCACACTTGTCCCACTCTGTCCTGTGGGAGCTGAATCCCCATTTATACCCGTGGTCTAGACTCACAACCTGGAGACCAGGCCTGCCTGCAGCAGGGGGTCCCAGATGTCCCGGGTCCCACTCCTACTGCCCCCCAACAGCCCCTTTCTTTTCTAGGCCACCAACATTCATTGACTTGTCCTTGACACTTGAAGAGAGAGCTGGGCAGGAGGCACTCCTAGGGTGCTAGGCAACAGAGCCATCCTGCTCTACCCACCCAGCTTCCTGGCCAGAGGGCTTCCCCCCACCTCCGCCACCAACACCCAGCAACAGAGCTCCCAACTTGGTGCAGCTAGAGATCAACTTCCAGGTACCTTCCTCAGGCATTCCCAAGTAACATCCACAATGGGACCAAAATGTGATGGGAGTGGCTAGCCACTCACCGAACACCCCTCAATGTCACCACGGCCATGGGAGGCATGGGACACAGAGACTCCCAAGTGACAGCCAACCTCATACATATAGGCAGCTTGCATTTTCCCTTGCAGAGGGGCCAGTTTTGCCCTCCTACACACAAATACATATATACGCACATGCATATATTCATACACATACAGACATATACTCATGCACACATATGCATGCACATATGACCACACAAGCATATTCACACATGCACACATACCCGTGAGCACACACACACACATATGCATGTACATATTCCTACACATTTGCACACACGTCTTCATTTATACACAAGCATACACACACACACACACACACACACACACACACACACGCCACACCCATAAATACAAGAGCTGACTTGTACACACGTGTGGTAGCACAAGTATTGCTGACATGTGTACACAACAGTGCCACTCACATGTAAGTATGCACCTTCACATGCACATGGCCACATGGAAACCCAAAAGGGTCCCAACATTGGTGCTTTCTTGGGTCTCATCCATGAGGCCCAGCTGGGAAGTGCCCCTAGGGCTCCTTGTCCTGAGCCTGAGGCGGGGAAAGATTCGTGCAGGGCATCCTGGCCAGACAAAGGTCTGAATGCTACAGATAGGTCTAGGGTTAGGGATAGGACTAAGGTCAGGGTCAGGGATAGAGGCAGGGATAGGATCAGGGCCAGGATTGGGGCTGTGACTAGTCCTAAGATCGGCCTAGAACAAGGGTTGAGGCTAGGGCAGTTGGGATTACAGTTATGGGAAGGGTTAGGACCGGTGCTAGGATTAGTCTTATGACTGGGCTTAGATTTCAGGCTAGGTATAGATCAAGGTGTAGGGTTAAATTTTGGTTAGGCTTATGAGTAGGAATGGGCTTATATTAGGTTTAAGGTTATATGTATGGCTAGATGTAGGGATAGGGATCAGGTTTGTTCAGGATTAAAGTTTGGGTAGGGTAGGCGTAAGTCCATGATTACACTGAGCCCATCCCCGTGAGGTCTGTGTGAGCATGTGCCAGGGGTCCTACCAAATCGGCCTTGTTGGACTTGGTATGATCTGAGCCTTAGGGTAACCCTGCCCTTTGACCCTACCCAAACCTGTCACTCAGCACTGTCTGCTCACACCTGGGTCGCCTGCTCCACCTTCCCCAGGCTGACTGCTCTGTGGGGACACCCTCAGGGCCCCTGCACGGTCTCTGCACGTGGCTTGGCCTGAGCACGTGGCTGCAGTGGGCAGGGGCTGGGTTGCAGGAGCCAGCAGTAGCAAGCGGCCACCAGTGCCTTTGCGCTCACTTTGGAAACTGTCAGTTCAGCAGTCTGGCTGAGGACCTGCTCCATGGTGGCCTTAAAACTGTCCACACTCATAAATCACCCGGGATTTAAACAAGCGCTGGTGGCAGGTAATTTTTCAGAACTCCCCCACACTCACACGCAGTCAGCGGCGTGGTGATGCAAGGATCGCGGGTGGGGTGGGGGGAGAATGAACTGAGATGGGGTCGACAGCATAACAATGCTGTCATCATCTCGGGGCTGCTTGTGGAGTTGGAGGTGAGGATGCTGACAGTGGATGGTTAACCTGGCCATGCTGAGGCTCAGAGTGTCCTGCAGATGTCTTCCCGATCCTGGGGCTCCACCCAGCTGATGGCGCTAAAGCCCACCTCCTCCTGTGACAAAGACACAACCCACAGCACAGCTCTCTTCTGAGTCTGGACTCCCCCACCTTCCCAGACGTCCTTGTGGGCAGGCAACACTTGACATGGGGAAGGGACGTGCTAATGGTGGGATTCAAACACCAAGACAAGAGCCCAGAGCTTCCTGCAAGTCACAGGTGATTGGCCCCACGTCCAGGAGGAAGTTAAAGGCTTCCCCCAGACATTTTTAAAGATCGCCATCTCCTTTAGTAGAAAGATGTGCTGCCCCACAATGCCTGTCTCTCCAAACGACTCTCAGATCACGGCCCGGAGCCAGGTTCTGCGGGTGACGTCTGAAGATCCATGTGGGCTGGGATCAGGGCTCAGTTAGGACTGGCACTAGGGCTCATGTAGACAAAAGCCAGGATTCAAATATGAGGCTGAGATCTGAGTGCTATGAGGTGAGATCAAGAATCCATGTGTGCTGGGATCTAGGACCAGTTCCGGACTGAGCCAAAAGTCCCTGACACAGGCTCAGAGTGGTGATGTTCACGGTCACACAGACAGTGACACAGAGGCTGATGTCTTCTCCAGACCCCACTGTTCTTCCTCAGCTGGCCAGAGGAGGATCCAGCCCAGTTACTTAGTTATGCAAGTGCAGGTCGTCTTTGGTTCTGCATCTAAAACTGCAGAAGTGCCCGCCTGACCCCTGGGAAGTGATGGGAAAGGAGGGCCCAGTCTAACAAAGATGGACTTGGGCGTAACCCAGGCCAGCAAGCTTTCTCTGACACTGGGAACCACGGGAGGACAACCAGAACCCTGGCCACTAGGAGCCCACAGGGCCCAAAAGTGTCTGCAGCCCCCTGCTAGGAAGGCCCTGACTGGATACCGTTCACTTTAGGTCCCAACCAGGTAAGGGCATTTTGATGAGCCTGGAGGGTTACTGGTACCCCAGAGCAGGGCCTAAGTCTCTAAGGAAGCACATAACACCAAGGTACTCCCAACCCCACAAGGCTGTAACCCCCCACCGACCTAGTATGGTACCTGTGAATTTGTAGTTTACAAATACAAAGGCTGCCTTCATCCAGGCACCTGTGTGGTTCCTTCCTGACCTGAAAGTCGCTCTTGGTGGCCCTGCCTCTGAGCAACACATTGCCCCTGCAGGGCTCCCTGTGGATATAAGGGCTCCTGGACCTAGAATGGCCTAGAACAGCCACACCAACTGTGGGATAGCCTCCCAGAGCCAGCCCAGGTAAGGGTGCATCCTGACCTTCTCTGGCCAGTCCTCCTACGCCACCTGGTGGCCATATCCTCA